CAGTGCAAGAAAAACTTGATATGCATCTAATGAATGTTGTTACAGCCTATTTGTATGGATCATTAGACAACGAAATTTTTATGAAAGTACTTGAGGGATTTAAAGTGCCAGAAGCATACAAAAGTTTTCGAGAAACTTGTTTAATAAAGCTTCAAAAATTATTATACGGATTGAAACAATCAGGTCGTATGTGGTACAATCGCCTGAGTGAATACANTGTCCCACTGGGTTTTCCTGGTAAGGTTTTTAATGAGGCAGCAAGCAATGCATATTATAAATAACTATGTACATCCCAATATTTTTTTTGTAAGTTTTTAATGAGGCACATTATCTTACATGGACATCCAAGGGGGAGTGTTATGAATAGTTTGTACATTGGATACTACTCTGGATATTACATTGGATGCTACATTGGATGTTCATGTTGTGAATAACTTAAAGATTAAATTTCCTACTTTATGTCCATCATCTTTACTTTTTATACCTATAAAAGGCTATGTAATTGCAATGAAAAAATACACCAAAGTGAAAGAAGAAAACACTTCTCCCTTCTTTCTATCTCTTCTATTTACATTTTACTGCATTACTTTTATTTTATAACAGAATTCCTTTTCTTTAAAAAATATTGGTTGTAGTGCTGCTTTGAAATATCGATTTTATGTCATATATTTTTGATCCAAAATCTAATTTCAGGCACACAATTTTGGATCGTAAGTTAGGACCTCTTTTTTTATTATTATTATATGACGTGAAAATTTCCCATGTTTGAAAGTATTCAATGATTTTGAGTTCAATACTTATGCTAATAAAATAAGATCACATTTCATCAATTTGAGATTGTACTTTTTTCCCCTCATATTTTGTTTATATCTAACATATGTTTTACCAAAATTTGGCGTTATTTAAAATTTATTTACTGATTGACATGGAATATTGCACGTGATGAGTAACTAGTGGCAATATAAGGACCAACACTTATAGGCCATTACTGTAACTCACCCATCCAATTGGACGTCGGTCCAATAACACCTTCTTCGATTATCACAATTCGGCCCAATCTATCAGTTAAGTGGGCTTATGAACTCAAGGCCCAGTATTGACCAAACCAGTATAAAGACATAAAACTAAACTCGCGGCCAGGTTATACTTTGTGAAAGCAAAAACAAGAAGTAGGGTTAAGAAACAATGCCGAAGTCGAAGCGTAATAGAGCCGGTATAGTACAACCCTTGAAATTTCAATATCTGATTGCTGAGTTCTTACTACTTAAGCATTTCAATTGATAAGGTGTTATATTAAGCTGATGTGTTTGGTTTCTAATTGCAGTGACCTTGTCGAAGACGAAGAAGAAGGGGAAGGAGCACAAAGAAAATATAGTAAATACAATAAGGGAATGTGCGGAAAAGTATAGTTCAGCTTACGTCTTTAGTTTCGAGAACATGAGAAATCTCAAGTTCAAGGAGTTCAGAGATCAGCTCAAGTCCTCTAGCAGGCAACTTTTTATTTATTTTTTGTTTGACAAATTTGCATGTAAAGTTATTAATCTTTATCTTAGTTGCTTGAAAAGATTGTAATATTCTGATATAAAGGATTTTAATATCAAAAGCATACATGTTGGGACATTTTCGAGTTAAGGCATCAATTTTACTTTGATTATAGGAAGGTTAGTTATGAATAATAATGTAGGATACTATTAGGTTATATTTTCTTTATAGAGTTCAGAAAATAGCAAATGTTAATTAGGGTCGTATGGAGGTACTCTCTACTGTCGCATGTCCATGTTTAGAATTTACATGTTGTGGATCCCTTGGCTGCTCTGGCTTGTCTGGCTATTACAGCGTGTTTCAAGAGTACATTGTGTACATACAGTGAATGTTTTATCATTAAACAATTACAGTTTCTCATACAAATCATTTTTGGGAGGATTATTGATTGGAAATTAGTATTGAGTTGGAAAGTCTTGAGGGGGATTTTTGTTGGTCTTTTGTATTAATTAGCAGCATGGAGAGTGTATTAAGCATTATTTCTTTATATTTCAGATTTTTCCTTGGATCAAACAAAGTCATGCAGGTAGCACTTGGCCGGTCAGTCTCCGATGAGATTAGACCTGGTCTCCATAAGATTTCTAAGGTAGGGCACGCCAACGCACTCTATATTATCTGTCAAATGTCAAATTGATTTTTTTTTTATTCTGTTCAATTATTCTAATTGATATCCTGTCTGTACAGCTCGTACGTGGAGATTCAGGCCTTTGCTTTACTAATTTATCAAAGGAAGAGGTCCAAAGGTAAATTCGCAGATTTGATGGTGCATTTGAGATACTGGAACTCAAAACATTATAACTCTGTTTTTGATTAGGTGAAAGTAAAGCTTTACTTCTATTAGTGAAATTGCTTTAATAATTTGTTGTTAATTGTCATCCTTGTCTATTGTGCTATCTCCAAGTTATTTATGCTGATCGTGATTACACCTTAACATTTTGTTGCAAAAAATATCTAGCCAATAATTCCAAGTCAAATGCTCGTGGTTTTTCTTCTTCCGCTTCTCTTCTACGTTGCAATTTCATTCCTTGCATGAAAGTTACACCTGTATCCTGTAGCACTAGCTGTTTTTCTCTGCTGGAGTATAACCTCTGGTGTTTACTTCTTGCTCCCTCCATTTCTTCCATTTTTCTTCTGGCTCATCATTTTAAATGTTGTCAGGTTGTTTAACGAGTTTGAAGAATATGACTTTGCAAGGACTGGCAGTGCAGCAACAGAAAAGGTATTGCAAAGCTTTTTTTATTAATACAAGTTGTTTATTTACTTTGTGGCGGTGTGCGTAGGCCAGGTTACTCGCACCCTGGTTAAATCACCCGGCATGTGCTATCTCCCACTAGCATTGGCACCGGTTAATTTTGTCCATCAAAACTTAGACAGAACTTCTATTCCTTCTTTATCCAACCTTTTATTTAAATTTAAGAATTGCCTCACTTCTGCACATTCCATGATAAAGCTATTCTCCTTAATTGCGGTGTAAGGTCCAGAAAAGAATAATCTTTTCTCCTTGTATATAACAGAAATACTCAAGCTAGTTAAGTGATGTTATTTGTTTCTGTGGAGATTTAGTGTTTCTGTTTTAGGTTTTACTGCTGTAAAATGAAGCTTTTGCCACTATCTTTTGGATGGTGAATTTATTTCTGATAATTTTGAATCAACTGCATGCTAGCTTCGTTTGTATTTACCTGTTTCCATTTCTAAGTATGTTCTGACTCTTACTGCCATATTAGCTATATGTCAACTTATTTTTTATAAAGCTAATTGCCATTTGGCTACTATAATAAGGGCGATTTGCGCGAGATCTCCTTCAGAAGATGCTTTCTCTGGTTCAATTGATGCCTCTTGCTACCCATGTGCTGTTTGATCTATTATAATTAAACCATATCGATTATCATATCCATTAAAGATTGGTTCTAGTAGATAATTTTGGGATATTTTTATTTAATTTGATCTGAGCATGTCTCTTAAGGTATTTTCAACAAGTACCTTGCCTCAATTTATATTCCAGTTACTTACCGGGTTCTTATTTTTGGTCCTTATTTGATCTGAGCATTTACATAAGGTATCTTCACCAAGTGCCTTGCCTCGATTTATATTTCAGTTACATACCGGGCTCTTGTTTTTTGTTCAATCTCTCAGGTAGAGCTACAAGAAGGCCCTCTTGATCAGTTCACACATGAGATGGAGCCATTCCTACGAAAGCAGGGCATGCCAGTTCGATTGAACAAAGGTACTAATCTTCTGCTCCTCTGCTGTTTTTGTTGTTTGCTGATTGATGATTGTAAGATAATTTTAGTGTGTCCAATCTGTTTATCTATCTGTAAAAATCTCTGATTCATCTACCTATGTCGTACGGTGAGCAGGTGTTGTGGAGCTTGTTTCTGACTTTGTTGTATGTGAAGAAGGGAAGCCATTGTCACCAGAGGCAGCTCGCATACTGGTTTGTTTATATTTCCATCTTTCAAATTTTTGAGGATAGTTCCATTCTGTATGTTTCTTGTGTCATACTGGAGGTGCCTTATAAGCGTGCAAAAAGATCAAAACAGCATATGTTGAAGTTTTTGAGAATTGAAAGCAATTACTTTGTTACTGTGCAGCGCCTGCTTGGTATCAAGATGGCTACTTTCCGGCTCAACTTAATATGCAGGTGGACTCCTGATGAATTTGAAATCTACAGAGAAGGATTGGAAGAGTCAGATATTGAATCCTCATAGACAGTTCTCACACCTCTGATGACACATGTTTTACAAGATTAAAGTTGCACGGTGTGGGTTGATCCTTTGATACTCCTAGAACCTCTTGCCAGCTGAAGTCACAGGGGGTGTTTTTTACTTGGTCTCAAGATATTACTTGACCAGTCATCAATTTTGGCAATATTATAGCTTCGGTATTCAGACTTCAGTCTCTGTGTGCGTGGAAGGTGTTTGAACTATTTTGACTCTTCAATGTAACGGATTTATACTTCAAAAGGGGAAAAATGTAACAGATTTTATGTGAAATTCCTACTAAAGTGTACAACTTCAAATTTGGATCTCAACGTTCGTTGATGGTTGGCCTGGTGTCTAGGCTTTCTGCGAGCTCATCTGATTGGCTTAAGATCTCTCTTGGTATATCCTTATTTTGAAGGACTGACTTTAGACTGACTTGATATACTAGGAATAGTTTTGACATCTTATGGTCGTTTGGTATGAGGTATAAGAAGGTATAGTGCTGGTATAAAAATTTAATACCATCTTAATACTTTGTTTGGTTAGCAAACTTGGTGCAAGTTATTCCGGAATTAAAATTAGTATCGGGATTATTTATAATATTATATCTTGTAGAGGTGAGGTATTTAGTTCTGGAATAACTTATATCTTTTTTTTTTAGAAATTATGCAAGTCATTTTTAATATAACATACCAAACAGTGGATAAAAAATAATACCAGCATAATTAATCTCAGCATAACTTATCCCGGCATAAGCCGTATTCAAACCAAACGATCCCTCAGTGTATATACAAAATACTGAAATTGTCGTTACTACCGATAATCAAATGGGTGGTGATGCATTTTCATCCTCTCTTAATAAAAGAGTGAAATTTTATCTCAAGTGGATCCAAATAGAAAAATGCATCATTCTCTTTTGCCAAACAAAAAAGAAAAGTGTCACATGAAATGGGACAATTTTTTTTGAATAATAAGTTGTACCAAGTGGTAACACAATCGTCTTGCAAATAGCAATGATCAGCCATGAATTCAAGAAATCGGAAATCAATTTAGCCAAAGGCATTAATTTGTGAAGTTCATTCGCAAAATAAGTTATGACGTTGATGACACGCTCAATCTAGAGGTTTAATATGTAAAGATGATTGAAGCGCTTCAGAATTTTGACGTCTTTGGAAATCAAGGACCACATCAGAACAAGCAGCAGCCATGTCTTCAAAAAAGAATTAATTCACTCAACTATTTCAAATTATCTCCTAAAGTCACTTTACTTTCGTTTGTAACAACAAAGTCACTGAACTATGCCTATTGCACTCAGAAGGTCACTTAATTAGATTTTCCAAATTTTGGATTGCCAAATACCTATTTTACCCTCTAAATTATAAATATTTATCTTCTTTTTAAAAAAAACTTTTTAATATTATGATTTTCTCTTTTAATTTATATTATGGATATAGAATAAATAAATATTATTTATAAATTAAAAAAATAGAAAGTATTTAAGCAAATATAATGCTGGAATAACAAAATAATGAGCATAGTAAAAAAATAATTAGAATAATCTGTTAGTAATAATAATTTCAGTATTAACAACAAAAATTCAAAAAATTATTTGCACAATTCAGAATGAAAGAAAATAAATATTGTAAAATATATATTCCATGCACGTAATACAAAAATAATTATTTAAATGAAGGTATTTTTATAATATACATTATATATTCTTGAAAATTATGCTCAATTATATTATGCACGACCTATTTAAATAATTATTTTTATATTACGTGCATGAAATATATATTTTACAGCCTTTTTTTTTATTCATTCTGAATTGTGTAAATAAATTTTGAATTTTTGTTGTTAATACTAAAATTATTATTACTAACATATTATTCTAATTATTTTTTTACTATGCTCATTATTTTGTTATTTCAGCATTATATATGCTTAAATACTTTCTATTTTTTTAATTTATAAATAATATTTATTTATTCTATAGGTAAGTCCATAATATAAATTAAAAGAGAAAATCATAATATTAAAAAGTTTTTTTTTTAAAAAAAAAGATAAATGTTTATAATTTAAAAGGTAAAATAGGTATTTGGCAATCCAAAATTTGGAAAATCTAATTAAGTGACCTTCTGAGTGCAATACGCATAGTTCAGTGACTTTGTTGTTACAAACGAAAGTAAAGTGACTTTAGGAGATAATTTGGGATAGTTGAGTGACCATTTGAGTAATGGACTCTTCAAAAAATGGAGTACTACCTGAAAATTAACACAAATTAGATCCTATGTTGTTTTGCCCTAACTAGTGCACAAATTACAAAATAAACACACATTTCCCTTAAACAAGATCTTGGGCGTTGAGTGTATTGATGCAGTGGTAAAACTCCACCAGGCTACCGTAACTTAAACTACGAGTTTCTTCAGCCTAAAATTAAATTCATGATGTCATGCTTCCAGTTCAGCCTTTTTATCCTCCAAAACCTTTAACTCTTTTCGCCAGCTTTCCAACTTAGCCACTTTTTCCAGCTGTTCTGGCTTCATATGNATCTTTCCAAAACTACCCAATGACCAGATTCTAATATATGTAGTATTTGAAAGATGAACCATTAGTAGAAATCAAACGGACGTCCTCATGTCACAGTTCGACGGTTCCAAGAGGTCATTCTCAAAAAAGTTCCAAAGGTGATATTCCCATCCATGTCACATTTGACCAAAGTGTTGAGATGGGAGCACCTTGGACTGAAAATACAACATAACGGTGAACCAGCACATGTATGCAGTTGTTATGGATTCAAAAAGAATGCACAAACATGTCATTACCTTGAAACAAAACCGAATCATCCATTTTGATGTACAAAATGGAAACAACAATTTTTTTCCACCATCCAATTGTGAAGTAGAATAATAAATTTCATCAAGGCATGGAAAACAAAGATGATAGCCGAGCATCTCTAAAATGCAGTAAGAAGCATCTAAGTTATGTTAAAGAACTTGAATGATGTCATGCCTTTGAACTGGAAGCACTGGAGGACATACCTTTTTCTTCAGAGCTCGGATCTTTTTGTCAATGTCCTGCACAATATCTCCCACGACAGAAGACTCGATTGAATTTGAAGGGGGGACAACAGGATTTGCAGATATCGCAAGATTGTTTATCTGGGACATAACTGACTCAACCTGCTCTGGAACGCCAACTGAATTTTCAGCAGATGAGATTTCACCACTCTCTGGATTCTTACCCTTCTCAACTGCAGCCTGCCACAAGTTTTGTTAATTATAGCAGCATTTGGTTCACAACTTTTGTAACAGAAAAGGAATGCAGTTTTTAAGTCATCAAGCTCTTTTTTTTTCGTGATTAGTCAAAAAGCCTCTCACTAATATCGCAACATGATCGTCCCAGAAACTACATCCTGTATACAGTGTTGGATCTTCATAACTGAAGGCCTAAGTTTGAGGATGTAAGATTGGACGAAAGTGAAGGTCATTTGGGAAGAGGTGAGATTAGAATTTCTTCATTAATTTACTTGTATTTTGGTATTAAGGGGACATACCCTTTGTATATATAGTTTGATGGATCTTTCGGGAGATTAACATTTGTATATGAGTTGTAATTTCTGATCTCAATACCTATGCAAATGGTAGCTGGAACATAAGCTATTGCCAAGATAAGGAATTTAGAGCCTAACCTCCACGTTACAGAAACTGAAGAAAGAATTTGGATTAGACATAAGGTTGACTTATCAACTAGAAAAGGTAACAGTACAGGGAAATTCACTCTAGAACATGTTATTACAATATGCTTCATATTGCAAGGACATTAAGCCTAAGTCTTCGCCTTGGAAATTGCCAGTCAAAGCAGAGTCCCAATAAAAGTTTCCCATTTTGGTTGGATAGCAGTACATGAAGCTGCCCAACTCAGTATAACCAGAGGAAAATGCGCTCATTTCGTGCAATAGATACTTCGTGTAAAAGGTACATCGCGGAACCTAATCATCTTTTCCCATTATGTGGGTTGGCAAGGTAGAAGTGGGATATTTTCCAAATCTATTGGTGATTAAAGGTAAAGCCCAGATACCCCATGGCCACATACCTCAGCTCAGTTTATAGGAAGCCACAGAAATCTATTCAAAAGATAGTATGTCATCCAGCTTGCATTTTGTGGGCGTTCGTTGAGGGAGAGGGACAAGAGATGCTAAAACCTAGTCATACTCTGAAGTCCAGGTGATTTCCATTTGTGGTAATTTTAAATATATAAATAACGTGGAAGTTTTACTGGAATTTATTAGCTCCCTACAACTTTAACGTTGTGGCTTTCTACATGTATTTTTTATATACCTGCACCTTTCATTGATAAGATATCTGCTCGTTATAAAAAACATACATCCGATAACAAGGTGTCTAACTTTAGTTGTTCGGTTGCTGTCGCATATTACACTGACTGAATTATGATAGCCTGGGAATGCATCTCCTTGTTCTTGCTCGCCAGCTTTGGTGAAGGATTTTCTGCTAATCCAGGTTTTTATCGAGCAAGTTAGAATTAGAAGAATTTGGGAAACTGATACCTATTAGCTTTTCTGGTGCATGCACAAATAGAGAAACCTACGAGCCATTGGGGGTACTATTACTGAAACCACATTATAAGAAACCAGCTTAGGTCAAATATGGTTGTATGGCCAACTTTGAAGCCCGATTAAATGCCATTTAATTCAATAATCTTTCATCATGAACTGCAGCTACTACCCACTTGCATAAGCTAGCAATATAATTGCATTACATTAAGCATAATGCACATTAAATACAGTGCATTATTATATTACCTTATATCTTACAGCAGTATCATATGCATCACTCATGCCATCAAGATTTTCAGTGCATTTATATTATTATTTCATAAGATATCTGTCTATGTCATTTCATAGTTGAAGAAAATGAATAATTTGGTTGAACATAATATTGATTAAAGATCTGCAACACTGCGACTAATGCAATAACAGCTATGACAGTTGACCAAACAAACTGGGGAAAAAACTTAACTGGACTAGGTGCATGCACTAAACCATGTTAGTTAAACTTGGTTAAATGACAAATCGAGCGAATAATAAATAGAATTAATTAACCATGCTTACATACTAAACCTTATGTAAAAGCATATGTCATGGCCTTCAAAGGCGGATCCAGGATTTGAATTTTATGGGTTCAAGTTCGGGATTCTACCACAGTCCATTTGATTTACTGAGTACGGAATCTATTACTTATACTAATTTAGTGAATTTTAAACACATATACATAGACCAGAGTGAAGCTATTGGGTTCGGATGAACCCATAACATTAACACTACATCCGCCCCTGATGCGCTTTTACCTTTGGTGGATGCACGGGTACAGGTAAATAATTTCCCAAAAAACTGTTCAGGCCATATAAACTAATCCTCTCGTAACTAAAACAAAGCTGACTAACGTATAGTAGTAATAAACAAGAAATAATGAGAGAAGGGGAACTAATTTGAACCTGTTGACGCTTTTCCTTCTTCCTTTCATTCCGCTTGGCAGCTTTAGACTTAGGTTTAGCTTCCATCACCGGATCATACCCCGGCGGAACATCCTGCAATGACTCCATTTCCTTCTTCCACTGCCATTTCCCAGAGCACCAATTAATCAACACAAGTACACACAGAATAAACCAAAACAACATGTACGACTAATGTATACTTACAAGAGCGCCTTTAGACTGATAAATGGCGACTTCATCTTGAGGCACATAACCAGCCCTAATACGAATAGGTTTACGGAGGGTTCCGTCGGGGCGTCGTGTTGGCGCGAGAAGTCTTTCGCCTTCTTTTAGGGTTTTGCTTAGGTCAGCTGCCATTTGTTTCGCTTCGTCTTCTCCTCCTCTGGTCGCCATTACTAGCTATCTCAGCTGATTCTGATGTTTTTACAGAGTGGAAGCGAGAATTCCCTTTCATCAACTCATCATTGGCTATTTGACATTGATTTGTTGGCGTCTAATCATCACATTTACGAGCAATTAGAGCTGTCTTATGTTCAGTACTATCAGATTATTTAATCGAGTCCCTCGAGGTGGTGAGTCACGGGCCGGGTTCATATTTGTTAGTGTTTTTGGGCCTTGATGTAATTTTGCACAAATATAACCAATTTAAATTGGGACTTATTCAGGTAAGATTATCATTTTTATTTAAGCGGCTGATGCCCGCTTGCTTTCTTCTACTTGCTTCGCTCTTTGTTGGTTACGGCCAGTGGTGGCAAAATAATTAAAAGAAATTAGTTAATCACTCATATTATCCATTAAAAAATTGGTTAGATAATGAACATTTTTAAAACGGGTTAAATATGAATAAGAACCATATTATTCATTTAGAAAATGGATAATTAATGGGTAACAAATGTAAAACTTGGAATTGGGGGTTCCTCGAGTTTGGGAAACTAGTAATTCTCCCAAAAGTGATCATATTCAAGAAGTCATGGATAATATGATTACTCATATTACCTGCCGATTAATCCGTTTTTATCCGTATTAAATATGGATTGGACCAAATAATTTATCTATTTTTTCATTACTGTCTTATATTCGACTCGAACCGCCCGTTTGCCCTCCCTAGTCATGGCTGCCGAGGCATATAGAGGAGAGATGTGGAGATGAAAATGGGAAGTCAGCTGTTGAACAAAAGTGTATGGGAATTTATGAAAAAATATCTAACTTGATTGTAAAAATTAGAAAGATGTATCCTGATTCGATTTTAATGTAGGTATCTCTAATTCAACTTTATCTTATATCAATCACTTTCGAAGATATATATGACTGAGTACTAATTAAAATGCAAATGCAATAATCTATCGTGATTAATGAACTGATTAATAGGGAAAAGGCTCATGTGGATGAAATGGGTCAAATTGCCACTTTTAATGAAACTATTTAAAGCGTAATCATAAAATGGCTAAAGGTACATTAATGTTAATGGGAAAATTAAGCGGTACATCAAATATTTGCACTGTATTTACTATTCATAACTATACTTTCAGTAAGTTTATCATTTATAGCTATATTTAAATTTTATAACAAATCCATGAAATAAGAGATTAATTATTTTGAACTGAAATAAAAGAGCAACAAGTTCTTGTACCTCAGTTGATTAGAGTGCTCACTTAATTAGCGGAGATCATAAGTTCAACTCTCATTTTTCTGTATTTTATCTATAAAGCATGAATAAAATCCCGGTTTACAAAAATAATCTTATAATATTAAGCATAATAACTCATAATAAAAGGACATAACCGAAATTCTAGACATTAGCCTTATAATCCTATTAGCTTTAGGACATAATACTACACGTTAGAAATCATACATAATTATCTTTAGAAATCCTATTAGTATAATTACTTTCGGACTGTCTAATTCATATAAAATTGAACAAGTAAATATCTACTTATTCTTTACATTAAATATTTTTAAATTATAATACATAATTATTTAACTAACATAACAAAATTAATCATTTGTATAAGTTTTGATGATGTCTTTTATTTTAAATTCATGTATTATGCTAATGTAATAATAATTTTCGCCATTTACTGATTGTTGTATTATTATACATAAAAAATTTCTCATTAAATAAATTGTATTGTTCCATCATATAAATAAATGTTTAAATCGTCATTATTAACGTGCAACACACGTTCATAGATACTAGTATCTATATCTATCTATCTATATCTATACTATATTAAAAGCAAGAAGGCCTTTAGCGAAATTTCGTTCGTCTTTTTTACCCTTTTAAAATAGTGTTTATATTGTACAAAATAGTCATTGAATTATTTTTCTAATATTTAGGAATAACCGTTTAATTATTTCTGTAATATTTAGAAATAACCATTTAATTATTTTCCTAAATTTTGGGACGACTTTTCAATTCCTTACCATTCTAGAAGTCCCGCACTTTTCCATTTACACTAGACTAGATTTCGACCATTTAGGTTTAGGAAGTTTTTTTTAATAATAAAATTTTGGCATATTAATATTTTATAGAAACATATTATATTAGGTGAAAATGAGCACTTTAAACTCCTTTTGATGCAGGAGTCTTTATTTTTAATATAAAGATTTCTTTGTATATGAATTATACACAAGATTTTACGGGAGAAATTTAAAAATAGCCATATTTACAACAGGTCATTCAAAAATAGCCCAATTTTAAAAGTAATCGAAATTTAGCCATTTTTCATGTAAAGATAAATCTGAGCGAAAACACTATTCAAAACCCGGAAAACACGCCCGTATATTATACTGGAGTTCCAGCATAAGTATGCTTGAACTCCAGCATATTATACGGGAGTTCCAGGATAACTATGTTGGAACTCCAGAATAATATGTTGGAGTTCCAGCATATAAGTACTATAGAACTCCAGCATAATATACTGGAGTTCCAGCAAGTATAAATGTCCAGTATAATATACTGGAGTTTGGAGCACCGGTGCTCCAGTCTCCCATATATTATACAGGAGTCAGCAAAGTATACCGGTCCAGCATAATATGCTGGAGTTCGTACACAGATACACCGAACTCCCGTATATTATGCGGGACCGGTCTCTGTTGCAGCAAAATAGTGATTATTTTTCATTGACTTCGTAAACGGTAGTTATTTTTGAATGATCAATCTGAAAACTAGCTATACCGTGCTATTTTAACAAATTTTACTTACATAAATTCACTCTTTATTTGTTAATAACATAATTCCTTCCATATTGTTTTACCTAATTCTATATCTATTTATCTATACTACTATATTAGAAGCACGAAATTTCTTAGCGAAATATCGTTCCCTTTTTTTACCATTTTTAAAATAGAGTTCACACTAGATAAAATAGTCTTTTATTATTACCTTAATATTTGGGAATAGTCATTTAATAATTTTCTAATAAGAAATCTTTCCTTATTTGAAGTAGATTCTAAAAATTGATCTTTAAATACCACACAAATTCTAGCTTGGACGTAAATCATCCCTCTTTAGCATGATTCTGTTATTAATTTAAATATATCTCTAATCTCTTACCTTAACAAAGCACTAGAATATAGTCATATGAAAACTAATTCAATAGAAACTTTATATTCATAGGAAGCTTAGCATATTAAATCCAGGTTATATTCCACAATAAAATCGCCAAAGTGATCCTTGGAACAAATTAGAATGTAAAATTAAATATGTTTCAAACAACAATAGAAAATAGACATTAACTATTAGATTAAGATGCTTTTAGAAGCTTTGAATTAAAAAATAAAATCAGAAAAATAGAAAAATTAAAATGGAAGGGTTTATAGATAATCATTTTCAACTGAAACTGTATATATTTTAAAAATAAATATAACCTGTTTGTATAACTATTAAATATAATATAAAATAACATGGAACAGTTTATAATACAAATATATTATGTTTAATAGTAATTATACGATTTTCTAAAAAGTCATCGACTTAGTTACACGCGCAACGCGCGCACCCTAAGACTAGTCTATCTATTCTATATTTATATTTATATTATATTAAAAGTACAAAGACCCTTAGCAAAATGTTGTTCGCCTTTTTTACCCTTTAAAAATAAATTTCACATTACACAAAATAGTAATTTAACTATTCCCTATTATTTAGGAATAATTATTTAATTATTTTCCTAATATTTAGTACTTAGAAATCAACTAAACTTTATGTATTGAATCTTTCCTTACTTAAAATAGGGAAGACAACATATTTGTAGAAGGAAAGTAACAGCCGAAAGAATTAAAGTAGGAATTGAAGTTTCGCCTACTTATAACTCTTTTTAGTTATTCTTTATAGTGAAGTATAACCAATTATTTTTTATAATTTTATTATCTTAGTAAAAATAATTTAATCGATAGGAAATAAATAAAAAACTACAAATAAATTCTCGTGAACATAGAACTCCTTCTAAGTTTTTGTTCTAATGTGATCCATTAGTACTCTTTTAATGTGAATATTTCAAAGGGCATTTACAATCCACCTTCCAACAAATATCCTTAAAAAGTTAAAGGCTAAAAATAAGTGTACACGTACATTTGAAATGTACTAATTAAAATTATGTTGTAATTTTAAATCTAAAAATACTGAAGTTAGTATATATCTGCCACTAAGTATACAAAAGTATCTTTTTTTACAAATATCTATAAATATTTATGAGTAAAACAAACATCAGTAGATAAGTTTACAAGACTATATTTTAAACTATGATTTACAGTTATAATAAATAATATAATATTTTTAATTTTTTTTGGTAAACATATACATATTAAAGCACAAACCCAATTTGATAGGTGAAACATAGACAAGATACTAAAATTTATGTATCAAAATAAATAGTAATAAATTGTCATATTTCTTATAAGAAATTTAAGGTAATTATAAGTTTTTATTCTATAAACTTAAGTAGCACACGCATGTCAATCGTCTTTTTTACCCTTTTCAAATAGAGTTCACACTAGACAAATAGTCATTTAATTAATTCTTTAATATTTAGTACTTTGATGTTAACTAAAACTTTAGTTATTAAAGTTTTTTTTATTTGAATGACTACACAATAAATCTTAATATTTAGGACATCAAAATTAATTAAGTTTACCTTATACAATTCAAATAATTTCTTTGTAAACTTTTTTCCTTATGATCTACGTACATAGAAATTAGCAGTGTATGTTTATAAGAACCATTTTAAAGCCCCATTCAATTTAGTATACTTTTCCACAAAATTATTTAAACTATTATATACATCAGTTTATATAATTATTTATTTAAAAATATACTTATGTGATTAATTATAGTTAATTTTTTTGCTATCTATAACATTAACCCATTCTAACAATTTTAAAATCGTGAGTACTATGAAAAATATAAAACCCAAGTTTTAAAATAATACGGGACAACTATATGAAAAAAAGAATAAAAAGCATAACTCAAATTAAAACTTAATTATTTATTTAATATTTAAAATAATTAAATCAACTAAATTTTAGTTATTAAAT